TAACTAGCCCTTTAATTATAAGAATAACTAGCCCTTTAATTATAAGAATAACTAGCCCTTTAATTATAAGAATAATAAGTAGGCTAAGTAGTACTATAACCTATAAGTTACTATTAACTTTCTTAAATAGTATTCTAATAAGTTTAAAGTTAAGAACTAGTATAAAGTTAATATAGATATTTACTTTACTATTAGGGTAGAATTCTATTACTAACTTACTTTTAAAGTAGGCTATAATTAATATAGCCTACTAGCTAGGTTAACTAAGGAGAAATAATATATTATACTCTAGCCCTTTTCTAGTACTTAATAAATTAGCAGCTATAAAGTTTACTATAGAGGGCTTAAGTTCTATTATTAAACTACCTTTAAAGTAGGCTGTAATTAATACAGTCTACTAGCTAGTTTAATTAAGGAGAAATAATATATTATACTTTAACCTTTTTTTTAACTTTAATAGTCTAGTCTTCTAAGATAAGTAAGAGAAGGTTAAGTTAATCTAGATAAAATATAAAGCTAGAATAGTATAACGCTTTAAAGCAATAATATTAGAATCTAATATATAGATAATACTTATTAATTAGAAGTAAGCCTTTAATTAGTATCTTTACTATAAATACTTAGTTATTAAAGAATACAAGAGGACTAGAAACCTAATAGCTGCTAATATTATTATATTTAATAATTAATATATAAGAACGTGCATTAACTTTATACTTAAGCTAATATATTATAATTACAGTACGTAGAACCTTATACCTACTAAGTTATAGGACTACCTTAATAGTAGTAAGAGTTAAACCTTATACCTACTAAGTTATAGGACTACCTTAATAGTAGTAAGAGTTAGACCTTATACCTACTAAGTTATAGAACTACCTTAATAGTAGTAAGAGTTAGATCTTATACCTACTAAGTTATAGAACTACCTTAATAGTAGTAAAAGTTAGATTTTATAAGACTAGATTAATAAGGTTAAGTAGTTAAATATAATTAGTACCTTGCGTCTATATAATATTTAGTATATATACCTTTAGTACTAATTATATTTAACTACCTAATCTTATTAATCTATAGCTATAGTACTTATTATGTTTAACTACCTAACCTTATTAATCTATAGCTATTTACATTCTAAGGGTTCTGTAAATAAGATAGTTTAAATATACTATTTAGTATTACTTTCCTTATAAGCAGCTTTCTAAAGGTCTAATTTCCTATACTCTTAATAATCTAGATAGATAGAGGGCCTAAAGTTATTTCTACTATAGAGATAGTTTTACTAGAGCCTTATTACTAGAAAGTTAACTTCTACTAAGTGTAGGTATCCTAGTAGTCTTAATTGCACTAAAATAAAAGATCTAGTTAGAAGATATTATATTACAGAATATAATAGTCTTTATAGTAGACTTAGTAGTAATCTTTATAGCACTAATATAAGAGCTATACCTAGGGGTAGTAGGTTTAACTAGGACTAGATATTTGTAATATAGAGCTATTACTAGAATAATAACTTAAAGAGCTAGTTACTCCTAGGGGTAGTAGGTTTAACTAGAACTAGATATCTATAATATAGAACTATTACTAGAATAATAACCTAGAGAGCTAGTTACTTCTAGCAGTAGTAGGTTTAACTAGGACTAGATATCTATAATA